CGAAACTAACTTTTACAAGATCAAGTATTAAAATTATATATGTATATATATACATATACATATTATATATGTATATACATACACACACACACATATAAATACATACATACATACACAGACGCACACACACTCACGTAAGACTCTCATATTCTTTCTATCCCCAATTTTGATCAACATAAAAAATTTGTAAGGTACCTTAAACTTTTTATGTTGAACACTTTCTATAAACTAGTATGTCATTTTTATTAGCAGTACTACCTATATCTGGTGGAGGGGGGAAGCAGTACTTAAAATACAACACAAATCAGAATTTTATGAATCTAATTTTTAATGAGGTCCTAACTAGAAAAAAAAAAATAGTTCATAAGGTTGTAATCACAATGCAACTATATGATGTCATCCACTAACCACCCATAAGATATAGGTATACACTTAGACAAATCCTATAGATAAAAATCTGGATTTATCAAGAAAAATGTAATTTACTTTTCAAATGGAATCTTTTTTCTTTTAATAGGCTTAACAGGTTTCTTTTAAATCACTAATTATGCTAGTGAATTTAAAATAATTAAAAAGTTCAATTTTAAAGCAAATTTTCAGAAACAATACAAAATCTCTGGGAATTATATTCAGAATTCAAAATTTCTTAAAACTTCTGAGATTATTCTATCAACCAACCAGATTTAGTAACCTAGGCTCTAAATTACCTTCCAAGCCAAACATTCTGAGATTCTATACATTTCAGTGTTCTACACACATCTTCTATTGCAGCCCCTTGTTCCATAACATACTGAACTTTCTAGACACTACTCTTTCGAGCAGGAACAGCACAGCTCTACGAGCACAAAAACTTATCTGTTTTGGTATCAGCAGTACCTAGCATGGTGACGGCCCACCGTATGAGTTCAACAATACTAATTTTTTAATGAATGAACAGTCAGTTAAGAACTTCTAGTCATCTCAGCACAGATGGTGCCGCTGTCTGCCAGAAACACTGCTAAAAATCAAAGAAGAGACATTAAGGTCAAACTTGCTTTACAATCATTTCAGACCTTGACAAGGACACTTTGATTGTCAAACATATTCCTTCATCAGAAATGACAATGGCTAGAAGGGGTCTTCCCACTATCCAACTGTGCCAGTACCTACCTGTCTGACCAGAGTGGCACTTCTGAAAATGGCAGCAAGCAGCCAAAAGGCACAGAGGCCTTTCCTCTGGGTTCTGGGTACAACAGCTATAAGCACAAACCCTTCTTTTTAATCCCTCAAAGTAGATTGAATGTTTGTAAAAAAATAGAATTTTTTTTTTTTGTTATTTTACAAACATTCCATGAATTCAGCTTACTACATAAAATAATTAAATCTCTATTCAAGCTGGCAGACAGCTATATAGTCTCTAGCTAAACACCTCTCCCCCTGCCTATTTTCTTCTTGAAAGAAACCAATTGTGAAAATTACACAAAGCTCTGTAGTACTGACAATGTTCTTTTAATCTTGATCTGGGTGGGGGTTACAAGGAAGTTTTAAGCGCTTGTGTACAACAATCTGACAATTCCATTAAAAAGCAGCAATATATTATGTACAGTATCCTCTTTAAAATATTTACTGAAAGGATAAGAAAACAGCAATTTCTTCAGGTTTTCCCCAATTGGAGGCATCTTAAAAATACTGTTCAAGCACAACTGGAAGAGCGTAGTCAATGTCACTGAACTGTGTATGTAGAAATTTTTGAAATGGTGTATCTTTGGCTATGTGTATTTTCACCAAAAAAAAAAAAAAGGTTGAGAATTTAGAGGGTTAATATGTTGTGGGGTTGTTAACCAATGTCATAAAACAACATGTGTACTGCTGTTTCATGAGAAACTATTTGTTCTGTAAGCCTTTACCTGAAGTACAATAAAATAAAATAAAAAAAAAATACTGTTCACCTTCAAAGCAAAAATTAAGATCCTCTGTGGAAAGCAGATCAGTTTATTGGATAGAGGTATGGTCTGATTATTAAGAAACTAAACTATAATTATGCAATTTCCGAATCTTCTATTTCACAATTACATTATGAAAGATAATTTTTCAAAATATGTGAAAACCCTTAGGGAAATGATGTTACATTTAATTCCAAAACATTAGCACTATACCCAGAATTCTCCAACCATTCATTAAGGAAGTTCCCCTCTTATAATGTATTTAAATACTCTATAACAATCACAAAAATTCTATCTACTCTTAAGACTAAATTATACCTATTCAAAGTATAACATAAATTTCTGAAAAAAAAATCAAAATCCATCATCAAGTGAAGAAACATAGTTTTAATGTGTGATTTAAAAAATATAATACCATAGTATGAGATCCAAAATTAAGTCCAGTTTCATTCCTTTACTCCTAATACGATAAAAACTATCCCTCTACTAGTGAACACTTCACCTTGCTCCCATGCTTAGTATTTTATACAAGTACTCAATAGAACCCTCAATCTCCATATACTCCAAGATGTTGCTTAATTACACGTGAATAATGAACAATTGTAACAATTCTGTTTTTACTCCTATTCATTCCTAAGGAGAGCAAGTACATTGTTTTGACATAAAGGAAAAGACTAGGCCTAAGAAAATAGATCTTTAATTTCTTAACGAAAGATGTGAACATGTCAACTAAATCCTCTGCACATGAGTTTCAAGACCATAAAAGTCCACTTCTGCATTTCTTCAATATATATTTACTAGGTCTGTTTAAGCGTTAGACCTTGGAGTACTAAGATAAGTAAGACATAATGGTCTCTATCCTCAATGACTGCAGAGTAGCTCAACAAAAGTCATTTCAATCTTGATGACAAGTAGCACTCTGTTCACTTCTAGGCAATATATATTTTAAGGCAATCTTTGGTCATTTTTATTATCAACTATAAATTCTTATCATTAAAAACATATGGTAATCAACCTAAGGTTTATGTGTTAGGTTATTAACTATTCCTACTGGGTTACAGTCCAAAAAAAAAGGTTGTTAAGGATAATATATGTAATGTTGCTAGTTACTCAGTTTGAGTGACCCATGCTAGATCAGTATGTGTTTTACGGAACAGTACAAGAAACCTCTGATAGTAAATAGGTCTCTTTATTCAGCTTTTGGGGGAAAAGGATGGAAGAGAAATGAATTATAAGCAAATATGGAAAGAATCTGCATTAGTATTTATTCATAACATTTCTTGATTTCTTCACCTTATAGTTCCCTCTTCCTCAATTAGAAGTGAAGATGATTCTTTTCCCATCTCTCTGTTTCACTATACCACATGGGACTTTAAAAGGGACTGATAAAAGACTTTAGATCTGAAAGACATTTAGATACTTGTTTCACCTGTACTAACACTATTACACTAATCATATCCAAGTGTAGTTTGATTTACTACAAGTACTTAATGTTTTATCAGGAGAAAGGAGGTGACATGCCCATGGTTAGATACAAACTAAAAGCACATATTTTATCGTTCCCCCATTTTTCATTTCTATTTATGAGGCCAAATCTGTGAAATCCCACCTTTTGGCAGGCATGGTAGAAAGCACTTCACTCCACTTTCCATTTCCTCAGTTAATGAGGTGCACTACCTTTCATTTTGGAACAAACTCCACTGAGCTCCAATCTCTCGTAACTGCACCACTGTTCAGACTAAATGCTGCCTGTCCTATTCAAATCCACTTGAGAACAAGGGCGTCATAACCACCTCATATGAAATCAACTACCCTTACAACTACCACTTCATCTGTAATCAACTACCCTGGGTCCACGTCTGAAGAGGCTATTTTAAACATTTTTACACAACAGAAAAGTTAGAACACTTTCCTTTCGTATTTTAGTGTGAGCTTAAGTTTACCGCTTTCTACTCTGAGGCATAACTGAAAGAAGAAAAAGGAAGTTTTCATTAAATTATTACTGTACTTTCAACTTTGGGTTAAAAGAGCGTGGCATATGAAAATAAATGCTTGATTCCATATCCCTCCACATGACAAGAACAAAGGAAAGCAATTTTCATAACACTTCCTTCTAACCAGGAATTACTATGGATTCGAGTCAACTAAGTTCTTTATAGGCACTCATGGCAGCTACAACCTTAAAAATAGTGGTTTTTCTTCAATTTGAAAAGAGATTTTATTTTACCATTATACCAAAACTAAGAACACACCATCACCCACAGAGAGCTTTTTAAAACAGCCTGCACAGCTGACAAACAATACAGGGAGGTGGGGACGAGGGAGCAACTCACAATGCACGTTTCCCTTTTAAAAATACCTTAAGCCAACCAAGGATAACCCAACGGATACAATCTAACAGCACATCATTAAACCTCCTTTCAGCGTGTATCAATTCAGAGATGAAAATAACAGAACACTGAATTTATAAAGCTCAGAACGAGGCTGAAGAGATGGGGGATATTCTCTTTAAATAGCTTCTCGGTTGGTAAGGGGAAATGTGCGATGATGTCATCCCTGGATACTCCCTAGTGATGAACACTAACTACTGGCCTTTAAAGGGGACCGTTTTCCTGCAAAATGTGACGGCCGCGAGCTTTGCTCAAAGGCGGGGAAGAGGCGCGACCCGCGGTCCCGGGCTGGAAACCTGGGAGGGACACCGGCCCGCCGACCCCAGGCCGCCCGCAGCCGAGCCGGCGCGGGGACCGGCCTGGGAGTGGCCGCCTGCACCTGCTCCTCCAGCGGCCGACCGCCCGAAGGCGGGCCGAGGCCTGAGGCGCGCGTCCCCCCATCGAGGCCAAGCCCGGCCCCGGGGCCCCCAGGCCGACTCCCCGCCCCCACCTCGCCCGGTCCCCCGAGGAAAAGACAATACATTTTAACGCCATTGGAGCTGCTGCTGTGGGGCTGCTGCTTCTCCGGCTCCGGCGAGTGCAGTTCTCGCCGCGGCTCGCCCGGTGTCTCCGCAGGCTTCTGCTGCGGGCTGTCGTCGCCAGCCGCCCCGGGCACCTCGGGCTTGTCGGCGTCCGCCATCCCAACGCCGCTGCGTCCGCCTCCACCGCCTGCGCTAAGGGCGCCGAGCGCGACAATGGCGGCTGCCAGGGAAGCGGTAACGGATCCCGATTTGAAAAGGCCCCGAACGCTCAGCCGCCCGGATCTCGCGAGAACCAGTCGGGACTGGGCGACCGGGAGATGGAGTGAACCGGTGCGGGGGGCGGGAAGAGGCGTGGGGAGGAAGGGAGGTGGCGGGTCAGGGCAGCCATTGCTGGCTTTGCTGCGGCCGGCCGGCTCTAACCCGCGGACGGCTTGACCTGCCATGCAGCCGCCAGAGGGGCCATGTTCTGACCACCAGCCCGACTGCAGCTTGTGGGACCTTCGCCTACATATGTCTGCTCTAGGGTTAGAGCCTTTGGCGCTCAGAAACCCAGACTATTCAATTCATTGTAGGCCGGGGCAGTTAAAGTTAGAGAACTGCACCACCCTTCATCTTTAAGACGTCTGCAAAACTTCAGACTTCCCTTAGAAATCCAGAGTATGATGCAAATAAATCACTCACCACTTCTGATTCAAATGCATAGGCACCCTGTGGACATTCAGTAAACGGTTATTGATGACCGGTTGCGATTCACGAGAGTTTGAATCTCACCTGGCTTTGAATTTCTTTGAGACCAGGCTGTTCACAAGGGTGAAGCTTTCCATAGAACTTAGCTATCAGCCTATGAGAAGACTAATTCTCTGGGCAGCAATCAATGGCGGAAATCTATAATTTTCGTAAGAAATCGGATGGTTTGGCTAATAATGGACATTTGGGGTTTTGATTATGTGTTTATTATATGCTGGTGGAAATTATATTTGAAGTAGTTATAGGCTCTCAAATTTAATTACTGTATGGACTTTAAAATAGCCATAGGATTTTTACCCTAAGTATGACAAAGAAACCCATTAAACATTATCAACGCCTAACTCTTGCGTACTATAATAATATTTCCCGTTGAAATAACTTTTTTCAGCTAAAGAGTTCAAAGACCTTCTCAAATGTTTCCTTTCACAAGGAAGCAAACATGCCTGGTTTATGTGCTTTGCTGAATATTAGACACATTAGTGGTGTTGTAGGGGAAAAACATCACGAAGTCTAGTGAAGCAAAAAGAAAGTTTTATTCGGCATATATTCAAACAGGCAGAAGGGGGAAATGGACAAGCATGCTACCAGAGCCATGTCTGCCCAAGTCCAAAGAATATTACAGAATAGGCAAGAATGGGAAAACAGACAAGCATGCTGCCACAGCCATGTCTGCCTGAGTCCAAAGAGTATTACAGAATAGACAAAAGTGGGAAAATGGACAAGCATGCTGCCACAGCCATGTCTGCCCCAGTCCAAAGAAAAGTTACAGAGCCATCAGTATATATTAACATTACAAATGGGCAAAATCATTGAAAGCTTAGCCTTTTCAGAT